TGGATCTACTGATGTCCCTCCATCACAGACGGAACTTGAAAATGAGACCACTATTTTCCCATGGTGAATACAGCATTGTATAATTGTAAGTCAGTGAGTTCAACATTAATTCTGGCAGGGTTCTAAAATGAGTTATTTAATGGAACTTTGTACGAACCTAAAAAGTGGAAACCATCCATCAGCAAGAATATCATGGATTCGCTGTCATCATTTCAGAAGACTTCATTTCTTTCTTGGATGAGCTCTTTGGCAATGTGATGAGGGACAAACTTATCAACTGCTAGATGACATCAAACTGAGAGAACTAGTGAATCTGCTGTCAGGATGAAGACTCTGAGGGATGGGGGTAAGTGGTTTAAGAAGTCACTTCTGCTCTTGGATAAGATAGTGAATGAGGTAATAGAAAGCAAGTTGATTAAATAGTGGACGGTACCAAACTGACAGGAACAGCAGATGTGTACCAGCATCCAAAAAAGACTAAGAGATAAGCAAAAGTCTAAATTCAATGAGATAATATTCAACACAGATATTATTATCAAGTCTAACTACTAATGGGTAATTCGATGGACACCATCAGTTTAACTACTAATGGGCTAACTACTAATGGATTTCTTTTGGGGGTGATGACAGTGTTCTAGAAGTAGACGGTGGTGATGGTTGCATAATATGTAAATATACTAAAACCACTGAATTGTGCACTTTAATAAAAATTGTGAATTTTTCATTTCAATTTTATCTCATTAAAATATATATAATTGCAAAATATGTTTCATATATATCTCACATGTCAGATACACTGACATCCACAAATATTTAACACTAATACTATAAGATTCACAATACTGTCAAGTAGAATTGTATACAACTTTACAATGCACAAGAGGCCTGGATCAATAATGCAAATTCTTAAAAATAAAGTAATGAGGCTGGGCACTAGTGGCTCACACCTGTAATCCCAACACTTTGGGAGGCCGAGGCAAGTGGATCACCCGAGGTCAGGAGTTCAAGACCAGTCTGACCGACACAGTGAAATCCCCGTCTCTACTAACAATATAAAAATTACCTGGGTGTAGTGGCACGTGCCTGTAGTCCCAGCTACTCGGGAGGCTGAGGCAGGAGAATCACTTGAAGCCAGTAGGTGGAGGTTTCAGTGAGCCAAAATCACACCACTGCACTCCAGCCTGGGCAACATAGCAAGACTCCGTCTCAAAAACAAACGAACAAACAAAAAGTAATGAATTAATTACGCATTCTTCACTAGTTCAATTAATTTATTTACTGTATGCTTAGTTGGTCCCAAGCACTGTGTTAGGTGCTACAGCTACAAAGGGTGAACAAGATATAATCCCTACCATCACAGGACTTCCATCAAGCAGGGGAGGTTGACATTAAATGAACGTAACTCAAATAAATGTAACAATTGTAATGAGGAATCTAAGGGGAAAACACAAGGTCTTATGATAAAACACAACAGGCAGATCTGACTTAGATGGGGAGCTGGTCAATAGCCTGAGAAATCACAATTTGAAACTAGAAGGATGATGTATTTAGCCAGGTGAAGAGTGAGAACTAATGTCCCCCCAGATGGAACAGCAGTGCAAAAGTCCTGAGGCAGGAAAGAATTGGTCCCACTGGAGAACTCGGTGAAGACAGGCTGTGGTCAGAGGGTTGTGGATGAGAAGACTGTCACAAAACGCGGCTGGAGAAGTAGGAAGGGCTCAGTCTACTCAGGACATTACAAGCCATTCTGGGGCTTCTCACCTTACATCCTGGGTAAAAAGGGAAGCCACTCAGGAATTTTAGAAGGGAAGTCGCATGATCAATTTGAGACATTAAAGCATCATGCAGGACCCTCTGTGAGAAAGGGATTAGAGAAGAGCAAAAAAATAAATTAGGAGATCAGTCAGCGTCAGACTAGCGGGTAGGTGTAGAAAGGAAGAGAAGTCATTTGCAAGGTCTGTTTTGGAGGTTATCACGTATTTTATTTCACAATTCAAATTTACACATGTGGGAAAAGCGCCTTCCAGAAAGACCAAAGCATGTAAAGTAGAGATCACTTACCAGGTCCTGGAAACATCTGCCTCAATCTAGTACCAACCTAAATCCTACAAACACTTCAAGCTACCTCCAGGGGCCCTGAAGTCTTTTCATTTAATTAAGCAGTACTTGAACCCAAATTAAGCCCAAGCTTCCAGCGAGTTTTCAGAGTGGTAAAGAAAGCCAGACAGTGAAGTAGAAACCTAGAAGGTCACTGGGATGAGTACAGGTAATACTTGGTGTCCCCTGTTTAACCCAACTGCAAACCAGCTTGTCCTTGGAACATTTTTTCCCTCTAAAGGAACCATTCTGGAAGAGAGGCACTCTGCTTAGCATATGCTCTGTTAAAGGCTTCAGTTAAACACACATGCACCCCCAGAAAGAAATATGTGCAAAGCATTCCAGATTATGCACGTGCATCTGTCTCCTTAAACTGCACTCCAGAGACTCAAGCAGATCACAGAGGCTGTCATGCATATTACACAGTCTACAGCGAGTGAATGACTTCCATTGTAACAGAAAAGCAACTGTACATTACACACCCATACAATTCTTTTCCTCTTAAAACTCTACCTACCCACATGGTAAACATTGCTTTAAACCCACAATGGGCCAGATAATCAAACTTTGTATATACTCCTTGCAAACCCAAGACATGAAACCATGAAATCGAAGGAAATTTACGTATAGTTTCACCAGGTATGACGTAAGCAAATAATAAAAATGGATATGACCAGTAACAACTATGTATTTAACTCCACATGCTCTGTAAGTAATCTTGTTCTCTTTTTCTTTTAGACTGTGAAAATATTGCCCTTAAAAATATAAAACAAAAGAAGGATTTTATTTAACCTCAAGGCATCATTTATCTTTGACCACTGTTATTCTTTTCAGCTTCTTTAGGGTTGTAATTATTTATTACAATATATATTTATACAACTACTTGACCACTGTTGAAAATGCTCCTAGTCCTTCTTAAGTCCTTCCATGTTAAGAGGGCTCTTCCAAGAAGACTTCCCTTGACCTTGAGGGCAAAGCTGATCCTCTATCCAGTCTCCCTCTCTACCCACCACACCTGGCACATGTCTGTATCATACACTGACATATTTACAACTGCCTCCCCTTCCAGACTGTGAGTTCCTGGATGCTCCCAGCACTTAACACAGAGCCTGGCACATGAAAGGTTCTAAATGCTTGTGGAATCAAATAAATGAATAAATGAATCTGATCCATCCAACCTCTGTAATTTATTATTTTTTTCACCGGCATTATCCCAAATGTGAATGACCCACCCAATTCAATAACACTTCAGACAATTTTCCATTTTCCCCCAATTTCTTCTCACTTCCAGATAAATAAAGATTTCTGACTTCGAGTACTGCACTGCTTAGAGGGTATCTATAAATGCCAATTTTAAATGTAAGAACACTGCTTGAGACTCAGGTTTACATGTGACTTTGTACCAGGTGTCTTTGTATATAGAACAGAAATGGCCTTGACTCCCCCAAATTCATATTCTATAACAAAGTGGCATCCACTGCCATATCACCCTATCATTCTTGCTATCAACATCCACATCAGATATCACTTTTACAAAGGGCCCCCTTTATTATGGAAGGAGGAAGAATGCCCTTGGCAAGGGCAGAGTCCATGAGTTAAATTCATCCGTCTGGAATAAATTATTTAGTATCACTTAAACTCTGAAAGCTTTGAGTCACCTATCCTGTGGTTTACAGCACTGTCTTCTAAGTTTACAATTTCCTGATTGTGAAGCGACAATTTAATTCCCTAGTGCAAAATCAATACAGTTTAAATTTACTGTCGGAACTGACATTCTCCAGCAAACTAAAAGAGTTCTTCTTCCGATGACAAGAGATCATTTTAATCTGCTTTTACAAAAAGGTACTCAGGAACCAGTCCAAAATCTTGGCATGAATTCTTTCTGGACATAAAGCAATTGACTCTACTCCTCTTAAATGTGTGGGATCCCTGGAGCCACCTGAGCTATGGCCACTCTGACCTAGCTTTGACCTGTCAGGGGCCTACACTTTGAATGGAAGTTCATCCTGCAAAAACGCAAGGAGCTGTGGTGGTAGTAACAACAGACAGCCAATAGGGTTTTTAAAGATATTCTTTCACTCGTTTAGGGTTTTTATCAGGCAGTAACGTCGATCATCATTTTCGTTCTAAATTAGATTATCAGTACAACTGAGTAGGAAGATTTGGTACAGCGGTCAACGTTTCCAATGTTAATTTACTGGAGTGATCAGGGACCATTTGCTTTTGTTGATTAGCAAAAGCTGGTGTTGTTTAAAACACACCAGTGCGTGACGAATCCATAAGCTGCATCCTTTTCTCTAACGAACAAAACAGACTGGAAAAGGCAAGAACACACCATCATTCAATCTACAATGAATATTGATCATCCGTTCTGTGTAAGGCCCCTTGCAGCTGCTACGCTGAGGATGGGGATGGGGACTGGGAAGGCCGAGTTGGGTGGGCCTGACACCCTAGATTTAAGAAGCTTCCAAGCGCAGGAGCCCATCTGCATTCAGCTCGTTTTCCTTGCACCTGTCACCGAACGGCTTATTTCCCTTTCAACTACTCTGAGCGGCCAACAGCTAAAAGAGAAAGCCTCGTGCCAGGAGAAAGAAGCGATGATCTACACCCAGTTATTAGCAGACAACTGAGGTTCCCTCCCATCCACCCCTGTGTGCACTGTGCACCCCCAAAACCAAAAGGTCAGGCCCAGCAGCAGCTAAGGCTAGGCCTGGGAGGCAGCAAGAGAACAACTGGGTTCGCAGAGACCCCGGGATGCTCAGGCACTGCCTGCTCCTCCCTAGCCCGCGGTCCAGGCTCCGCTGGCGCCCCGCAGAGCAGTCGGCCTCCCGCGCGCTCAGCATCCCTCCTCCTCCTCCCCCGTCTCCTCCCGTGCCTCCTCCGCCCGGGCTGGTGCCACCAACCTTGGGCGTGCGGATGTGCTCCATGGCGGGCCCACGTCTGCAGGGTCCCGGGCGGGCGCGGCCTCACGCACCTGCGCGCGTCTGCGGCGCTACAGGAGGAGCGCGGGGAGGGGGCTTCGCGCCCGGGCGTGGGCGGGACACGGGCTTGGCTCCGCCCCCAGGTGCCTCGCGCGCGGCGTGCGGAGCCTGGGCTCCCGCGCGGCCCTAGAGAGCGCACCTCTGCGCCTGCGCCCACCTGCGCCGCCGCCGCGACGGGCCTCTGCCTTGGGTTGCCGGGGCGAGGGCTGGTAGCTCTCTCTTAAGAGGGGCAGTCGGCGAAGCACTATACGGCCACTGTTCCCCAGGACACAAAGAGGGCCTTGTTTTGGGTGTGGCCTCCTGGAAGAGAGATGGGGAGTACATGCTGCTCCACACCGCCCTTAGGCTTCCTTCCAGGGCGTCCCAGGATAGGTAGGATTTCAGGGTGGGGCGGAAAAGGCTGCCACAGACACTCTAGACCCAGGACGGTCTCGTGAGCTCCATGTGTGTGTTTCATCCCAGGCGCGGCCGGCATAGCACGGGGGGTGCGAGTGGAAATAATAGCAGCAGTGTTAGCACCCTGATAAGTGCGCTACTAAGTCAGGCATCTCACATCCACCTGCGACTTCACTGTTGGAGGCGACACTTTTCCCTTGGCACGGTGTTGGGTGCGCATTTGCCATCTTTAGCTCCAAATGAACTGAGAGAGAGAGATACAAAGCATCCATTATGCGTTACCATTTCCCTATTTATGATATTAACAGTAGTTGGTGCCATTGTTAGTGTTAGGCGCCTTGGTAAAAGCCAAAGAGAAGAACACCCTCCAGTTTTGTTTTGTTTTGTTTTGTTTGTTTTTTCTCTTGCAGCCCTAAGAGTCCAATGATACACCATAAGTAAAATTTTGTAGAATTCTCCATAGTTCTGTTCAATTTTTTCCTCACTCTTGCTCATCTTTCAGGCTGGATTGTGATTTTTTTTTTTTTTTTTTTTTGGACCATAGAGACTCTGCTTACCTCTTTTTATCCAATGCCTGAACACATTACAGCCTTCCAACAAATAATTAATACAGTTTGAACCTATTTTTAAAATTCCAGATCCCTCTTTCACATGTCTTCTTCCATTTCATCCTCCTACTGCTTTGGGAGGCAATTAGAATAAGTACTATAAACCACCATTTGCATATGTCATGATTGACCCAGGGCATAATTTCTTCTTTACCAAAGACGACCAGGAATAGAGTCAAGAACGCTCTGTTGCCAACTCACACACCGGCCTTAGCCTCCTCATTTATAAAATGAGAAAGTCGTCAGCTTAGATGATCTCAAAGTTAACCGTCATCTCCAAATTCCATTAATACAAAAAATCTTACATAGTTTTGTGGAGGGGAACATTCTAAATAGGCAAATGATATTGAAATTATGTGCTTTCAGGGTTCTATTCTACTGGTGAGCTCATTAAAAGTCTACCTGGTAATTTTTGCATGAAAGTATTTCTGACCTGTGGCTTAATTATACTAGGTTTAAAAAAAAACACTAATTGGTAGCTGAAGGGAGGTAAGTCTGAACAATTTAAGTAGCCTAATGTTAAGATATTAGATCACAAACTGTGTTGATCCCTAACAATCACAAAGAATTTTCTGGTACTTACCGTGTCATATAGCCCCCTAAGCTTCACTGCTGTTCCAGCACCACCTAGCAGGGCAGAAGAGACAGCAAAAGTAGCAAGAATTGGAGGGCAGTAAGGTGAGGGAACCCAGAGGATGTTGTTGAAATGTCTGGCTATATTTATCCTAAGTAGAGAGAAAAGGAAAACTAGCCATTCATTTACTCAGAAAATATTGCTATGATTTAACTGTTGGTCATACTCAAGGTATCATGGCAAATGCTGGAAGATAGAGGGGAGTCCCAGGTAAGAAGGACACTAAATCCTGTCATTGTGATATGGCCAGCACCAAGGAAATGAAAGGTTAGACCAACTAAGGTGGTGACAGAGTATGTGGCAATGCTAAAGGAAACCTCAAGAAGAATGATCTACTTACTGCATTTTCCCTGTTACTTCAAGAAAAATCAGTGGATAGACTTAGAATCAGGTACTTCTTGAAGTTTGATATTTGATATGTCTGGAATGAACCGTAGTCCAGTAGGATGAATATTGCATCTGTGAGTCTGAGTCTTCTACAGAGCAGAAATCTCTCCATCTGGCCCCAGGCCAAGAAATAAGAAGGGAAGGGAAAAAAAAAAAAAAAAAAAAAGCTTATTCTTCCAACTCTATGTAATTTGCAGATGGAGCCACACTCAAATTTACACTAAATCAGCCTATGTCCACAGAATTGGAAAATGGCTATTTTTTTCTCTACTATTTGTGACTCTTGGATGGAAAATAAGTGTATTCAACAAAACTATGTTTACCATCAACCAAATGTCAGACAATAGAGTTACGATCTAGTTATCTGCATGTCCACCAAACTGCTTTTTCCCTTGCCAGGGCACATTGTAGTTGTCCTCATTTTATCATCAGTGTCTGGGATTTTTTTGCCTTGTGAAATGGTAGATATTACGTGCACATCAATATTTAACTCCCCTATCCTACATGGGAACACAGGGACTACACTTCTCAACCCCCTTGCTATTAAATGGGGCCATGTGACTGGTTCTGGCCAATGGACTGTGGAAGCGGTTTATGTCACTTCTGGGCCAAACCCCTACGAAGCCCCTGTGTGGCCCTTCAGTTCTCTCATCTCCTGTCTTGATGACATGGAGGTCACATGTTGAGATTAAAGAGAAAAGACCGGGTGTGGTGGCTCCTGCCTGTAACCCTAGCACTTTGGGAGGCCAAGGCGGACAGATCACCTGAGCTCGCAAGTTCGAGATCAGCGTGGCCAATGTGGTGAAACCCTGTCTCTACTAAAAATACGAAAATTAGCCGAGTGCGGTGGTGGGCACCTGTAATACCAGCTGCTCAGGAGACTGAGGCGGGAGAATCACTTGAACGAGGAGGCGGATGTTGCAGTGAGCCAATATCATGCCACTGCGCTCCAGCCTGGGTGATAGCACAAAACTCTGTCAAAAACAAACAAACAAAAAAACAAACAAAATGAAAAAATAAAGAATTTGCTCTTCATGTTGGAAGTAACTGTGGCCCCAAACTATTCAGTATTCGAATGAAATGAGACAAGAGAGAAACAGCCTGTATCTCTATTACCATTAGCTTACATTATTGCAAGAACTACTCTGGAAAGCCACAGCTGATTCTTTTGTGAGTGAAAAGAACACTTTTGTTGTTGTTGTTGTCACATAAAGCCACTGAACTTTAATGCTCAATTTAGCCTATACTTTGTTGAAGTGGAAAGGGAATTTGACAGTCAAAATAATACACTGTCTCTACCTTTGTGTTTCTGATTTTTTTAAAGAGGGAATTGATAATGCCTTTAAAGATCTCTAAGGACACCTAACCATATGCAAGACCTAAACGACTTGATTGCAAGTTACAAAACGTCTTCTAGAGAATTCTTCTTATGCAACTTTTATCACATAGATAATTCAGTTGCAAATACTATTGCTAAAAGAATTTTAAAATAAAAACTCGATTTCAACTGGGCACTTTCCCAGAATCCTGTGATCTTCAATGGCCTGAGGAGATTTGAATTCTTATCAAAAACACTGGTAAGACTTTTTCCAAAATACTTCCATTTCTCCTGAGGCAACTCAAACTTCTGATTTGGCAGTGAAACCACAACTTGTTTCCTTTGGGATGGTGTTGCTGATGATTACAAACTCAAAACGATCCTATTCAGCGTAATTAAACCCAAACGGACCATATTAAAAGTGGAGGAGGGAACACATCTCTGAACAAACAGCCTCATCTGAAGTCACTCAGTATGACAGGGTCAGAGCTGCATGTGGGGTTCTGCCTGGCGAAAAGTAAAAGCAGCATCTCTTCCTTCAGGATTTTTATGAACTCGATGATGCAATGTATCAGTGTCTCTGTTGGCCTTGCCCTATAACAAAGATGTGGAGGAAAAACACTCAGTGGATTGCAGTCAGCTCTGCCCTTTTTCTAGGAGCCAAAAGGGAAATTCTAGGGCAGCATGAAAAGAGTATTTATTCTGTGAACAGTCAAGGCTTTAAAATAGCCTCCTCCCAAAACTGTGAAACTGCTGGGATAAAACACAGGGGAAACTCTTCAAAACATTGGTCTGGTCGAAGATTTTTGGGATAAGAACTCAAAAGCATAGGCAACAAACGCAGAAAGAGACAAATGGGATTACATTAAATTTAAAAGCTTCTATACAACAAAGGAAACGACAGAGTAAAGAGGGAACCTACAGAAGGGGAGAAAATATTTGCAAACTACGCATTTGCCAAGGGGTTAATATCCAGAATATAAAAGGAATTCAAACAACTCAACAGCAGAAAAACCAAATAGTCTGATTTTTAAAATGGGCCAAAAACCTGAACAGAGATTTCTCAAAATGAGATCTACAAATGACTAACAGGTCTATGAAAAAGTACTTAATATCGCTAATCATTAGGAAAATGCAAATCAAAACCACAGTGAGCTGTCACCTCACCCCAGTTAGAATGACTATGATCAAAAAGACTAAAATAACTAATGCTGGCAAGGATGCAAAGAAATGGGAACCCTTATGCACTGTTGGCAGGAATGTAAATTAGTACAGCCATTATAGAAAACAGTATACAGCTTCCTCAAAAAATTAAAAATAGAACTACCGTATGATCCAGCAATCTCACTAGTGGGTATTTATCCAAAGGAAATGAAATCACTATGTTGAAGAGATATCTGCACTTCCATGTTTATTGCAGCACTATTCACAATAGCCAAATATGAAATCAACCTAAGTATCCATCAATGGATGAATAGATAAAGAAAATGTTGTAGAGATACTTAGTGAAATACTATCCAGCCATAAACAATGAAACCCTGTCATTTGTGACAATATGGACAAACCTTGAGGACATTATAAGTGAAATAAGCAGGGCACAGAAAGACCCGTATCATGTGATCCCACTCATTCATGGAATCTTGGAAAGCTGATCTCATGGACGTCCAGAGTAAAATACTGGCTACCAGAGGCTAGGGAAAATAGGGGAGAGGTGGGTATGTGAAGAGATTGGTCAGTGAGTACAAAGTTACAGTTAGATGGAAGGAATAAGTTCTGGTGTTTCATTCCATAGTATGGTGACTGTAGTTAACAGTATTGTATTGTATATCTGAAAATAACT